TCACAAGTCAAACTGAATGAAAACCAAATCAAATTCAATGATTAGGTTCAGTGTTGATCTTATGTGGAAATTTGATTCAGTTTTCATCCAATTTGGTTTGTAACCAGAATTGTAGAAAGAATTAAGTTTATGAATTAAGGTACCACTGTTTTTAGATTCAAGCCTATCCTTTTATTTTTGGTTTTCTGCATGTTTTCTCTATGCTTTATTCCTTTGTTTCTTCATTCTTTTCCTTTTAGTTATGTGATTTTTAATATTTTGTTTTAAATGGTTGTTGATCATACAGCTCTGTTAAACATTTAGTGGCTTCCTGGGAGTTACACTGTCTCCTAACCCTCTCACTACTACTAGGACCAGCATTTTGACATTCCAGGGGTTCCGTAGGACCCCATCATGAAGGGGCTTCCTGTGCTTTCTTTTCTGTGCATTGAGGTCACCTTACTTGTCATAGCTTTGTTTGATGAACATTCTGCCAGACTCCAGTACATTTGCTTTCAATCATCAGACTCATTTTTAAAAACTGAAGAATCTATTATATTCCCCCAATATGTGCCATTTTCCTTCATTCCTGATTCCTAGGTTTCCCTCATTTCTGTCTGCTGAACATTTTAGCTATTCTTTAGGATCTATCTGCTGGCAGCAAATTCTCTTAGTTTTCCATCTTTTCCCATCCAAGTACTAACTGGGCCAGCCCTGCTTAGCTTCTGAGATCAGACAAGATCAGGTGCTTTCAGGGTGGTATGGCCATAGACAGTTTTCCACCTTCTGAGAATGTCTTTGTTTCACCTTCATTTCTGAGGAATATTTTTGCTGAATTGATAGTTCTTTCTTTCAACACTTAAAAGAACGTGCATCAGAAAGCCCAGGGTCTGGGCACACACTCTAGCTTGACGGGGGAGGGGCTTTGTTTCCTGACCACTGGAACCACAAGTGGTGGACTGAGCACAGGGTCTGGATGCCCCTGGTCACTGTTGGTGTGGCTGATGCGTGAGGAGTGCACAGCCCATGCCTGAGAACGAGTGGGGCTGGGTTGGGTGTGTGCCAGGAGGGGGCTTGGAAACCCTGCTATGGGGATGCAGAGAGGGACAGGAGGCTAGAACAGCCTGAGAGTGATGGAAAAGACAGCTCTACACCACTCTGGCTGTTTGGGCAACATCCCGAGATCTGGGGAGGGACACAGGGGCAGCTGAAGTGGGGCTGGTTGCAGGGGAGTGTGGAAATGATGAGCCACATGGTCTTTCAAGAGGCATCCCAGAACCTCTGCTCTGGGTCCCACAGGCCCTCCCATCCCACCCAGCCTGTCCTTCTTGGCCCTGGGGATTGAGGCAGGCCTGGGAGTTGGCCTGGGCCTTAGGGGCCACATCCTGTTGGAGTCAGAAGAGGCCACCAGGTGGGAGGAGAGGGGTGTTCAGAGGGTCCCCTGGGTGAAGATCTCCAGAACAGAGCTCCCTGGGAGACCCAGGTCTGGGAGGGACTGTGAGCACACATAAATGTCCAGGAGGAAGCCTGGGACCCACGGGGAGGCTGGGGGTGCTCCCAGGACAGTGCATGAGCCACTGTCAGGTGCCTTCCCAAGTGCTGCCAATGGATGTGGGGTGGTGACTGGGTGTCTTAGAGACACCTGGGACTGAAGCTGGAGGCAGGAGTAAGTGTGGATCTTGCTTAGCATGAGCTCTGGGGCTGAGCGGGCCCCACAGGACAGCAAGGGCTGGGGTGAATGGTGCTCGAGGGGAGGTTCAGTGGCTCTGAGAAGCAGTGGAGCTCAGCGGGCTGTAGGGTCTCTGCAGCAGGGCGTGGGGTCTCTGCGGCGTCAAGGTCCTGTGTGGGGCGGGTGGTCTGGACGTAGGCTGCGTCGTGAGGCACCTCTGAGCGCAGGCCTTGGAGAGCTTGGTGACATAATCAGGAAGCAGGAAGGTGTTCTTGAGGCCAGTTACGTTTCAATAGCATCTACTTGAATTGTAGGTTTATATACTTTTAAATGAGGGCTGTGTGGAGCCCAGCATCTGCGGGCCCCCACTGTGGCGGAGAAGCCAGGGCCCCGCAAGGGGGGCTGGCCAGGCTCTGACTCAGCCCCTCCTCCTGACTCACAGGGTGGCCACTCACCCCCCGCACTTGGCATCTGAGGGACCCAGCGAGTGCTGAGCCCCACTGAGCTGGCAGCCACACACCAGAAACCGCAGGCCTGTGTGGGCGATGTCTCCAGGGATGGCCGTGTTGGAGGAGGGCTTGGGAACAGCTCTCTGCGGGTCCTGTGGGGCCTGTGAGGCAGAGGCGGGAGTCCTGGGTGGGAGCCAGGCTTCGCCCAGTTTCCTCTGAGGTCTGAGCCCCAGCCAGTCACCAGCCCCATGGCCACTGGCCTCTCACTCATTTCTCCAGCCCAGGGAGCTGGCTGGGGGATGCAGCTCTCCGCTCCTGGCCATACTTTGGGACAGGGGATTCTGCCTGACAACCCTAGGAGGCTGCATGGTTTCTCAGCATCACTCCGAAGCTCAGACGTTACATCTGGAAGCGCCCAGACACGCGGCGGGCAGGACAGGGTGGGGATGACGCCTGCCAGGAGGGCCCGGAGCAATCCTGTCCACAGCTCTGCAGTGAAGTCAGCAGGCTTTTGGGAGGGAGCTGATTGTGCACATTGACAACGGAGTGCAGAGTGGGGCTTCTGCTGTGTCCGCCAGGGCCCACCTCTACCACAGAGCCTCCCGTGTCCCTTCCTGGTCCACTTGGTGGAAATCGTCACAAATGACTGGGTATAAGATTGTGCTCCAACTCCTGAGAGAGACCTGTGCTGGACCTGAAGCCACACAGACACCAAGGCCCTTGTTTTTGAGGAGACACTGAGTACCCAACTCTGTAGGGAGAGCCTCAGGCTAGGTTCCAAATGGGCTTCTTTTTTTTTAAATATTGTGTTTTTTTAAAAGCCAAGTATTTAATTATTTGGAACCTAGGACCTCATGTATGCTAGGCATGTGCTCTGCCACTGAGCTACACTCCCACCCCTTAATTGCATTTGTAAAACATTATTTTAAATTTTTCATACAATGAACAAACTCATAAAGGTGTGCAACCCCCATGACAGACGGGTAGTAGTTTCCTCACTGTAAAGTCACTGGTGCAGCCCTCAGTGGTCAAGCCTGGCCCCCAGATCCAGACCCACCCCCACGTCTTGCTGGACAGGGAGACTCCACAGCCTGGTCTCCATGCTGCGTCCCTGTGGAAGGGCAACCAGGCTGCCTGGGAGATGGAAGTGCTGCTGAGAACTCCTGCCCCTGAGGCCTTGCTGTGGACGGTGGTTTGCGTTTCTCTGGGCACATCCACCCCTGACTGGGATGTGGGTCACATGGGCACCGTGTTCTCCCTGTGTAACAAACTGCCAGCCTGTTTCCAGAAGCGGAAAATACTTCCCAGCCTGCATCTCACCAGCCGCGGGGGCGGCCAGCTGCTCTGGTCCTTGTGGGCATTTGCTACTGCCAGAGCTTTCTTAAAATTTAATTTTAGCCATGCTGATGTGAGTGGTGGAATCTCGTGTGGTTTCCATTTGTGCTTCCCTGGTGATTAATAATGTTGGACTTCTTTTCACACGTTTGTCTGCCATACATATTTATTCTTTGGCAATATATTTTTAAAAAAACTTGTGCTTCTTTTTGAAAATGTCATTTCCTATCCTCTTGTTGAGTTTTAGGAGTTCTCCCCATATTCTGGCTGTTTCCTTTGTCAGATAGGAGCTTTACAATTATTTTCTCCCTCTCTGGGTCTAGTCTTCATTCTCTTAAGAGTGTCCTGCAGAGGGCAAAGCTCTGGATGTTTCTCAGACTTGCTGCCTGGTGTGTACAGGGGGTCACGAAGGTTTTCCCCTAATAGTTGTAGAAGTTTGCATTGCGGTTGGATGTTGGGTCCACTCCGTGTCTGTGTGAGGCCGAGGCTGAAGAGTGATGATTCCCAGCACCACTTTCTTAAATGAAGATCCTTCCTCGATGATCTGTGTCTTCACCTCCATCAGACATCCAGTTCTCCAAGTAGAGACAGGAACACGAGGGCAGGGATGGCAGGGCTCCTGGAAGGTCTGAGTCTCCACCCAGGGTGTATGTCCCCACCCAGCATCAGCAGAGGGCACCTGGCCTGGCAGCAGCTCCAGGGATGAGCAGGGCTCCTCCTGCTCCACTGCTGTCCTCCAACCTCACACACGGTGACCTCAGGGTGGGTCCTGCACTCCTGAAGGCCTTGCCCACCTGGCTCGGGATCTGGAGGCTTCCCTGTCAGGGAGCTGGGGTGGGGGCTGGGCCCTGAAGCCCCTTGCCATCCCTGGCTTGCAGTAGAGCCAACCCTCCTCACAAACCCTGTGTCTTGGCCCCAAGAAAGATTCCTATAATGTTGGACATTTATACGGCTTCCAGAAACTGAGTAAATATTTACATTTCAGACTAATTCATTGGTAAATATTCCTAAAAAGAGTTACTGGAAGCTAAGGGAATAAACATTTTTGTGGACGTTTGTGCCTATTTTTAAACAGGTATAATTTCCAATAGGAGGAGGCGCAAATCCGGATTGTGCAGCCCCACAGCTGCCCCACTGGCACTCACGTCCGCCCCCTGAACTTGGCTTGCTCAGCCCGTTCTCATCAGTGGAGCGCACAGGCTGTGCTCCTGCCGTCATCCCGTCATGCTGTGCGCAGTGGAAGTCTGGTTTGTGAGGCCCTACCGCGTGGCTGTCCCGTGTTTACCTCTGCACTGACACACGGGGTGACCGAGTTCGGGGCTGTCATGAACAGCACTCGTGGACTGGCACTCGTGGACTGGCCTTGCGTGGCTGTGGCACTTGTGTCTGCAGCACATGCACAGGCCCACGGTGCGCAGCAGAGCGGGTGCTCAGCCCTGGCAGGTTCCACAGGGTTTTCTGAGCTGACTGGACTCTTCCAGTCCCATCAGCACAGGCCACGGTTGCTGGGTCCACATCTGCCCGGCACGTGGTGCTGACGGCTGGTCTAACTGTAATCATTTCAGTAGGTGTCCAGTGGATACTGAAGATACTACCCTGCATCTTAGAGATGATCGTGAGGTGTGTGGATGACGTCTTCACTGTCCAAAGAGGTTAAGAAGTGAAGGTAAGAGCTAAGAGATCTATCTTCTTGTACTTCTGTAACAAAAACCCCAAGGTTGGTCTTGCTGGTCTTCTTACGAACTCGAATCAATGCTTATGTCCACACAAGGACTCGAACACAAGGATTCAGAGCAGCATCATTCCTAATGGCAAACGCTGAATGTGGGCAAAAGATCCATTAGCAGGGCAGCCCACTTCTGAGCTCGAGGATAATTTCCATGCCTTCTCCAGCCTCCTTAGCTGCCTATGTTCCTTGATTTGTGACTCCTTTTTCCCCTTCCACGAGCAGCAGTGGTGTGCAGTCCCTTCCTCCTCCAGTGTCAGCAGTGGCACAGGACCTCCCTCCTTCAGTCCAACAGTGATATGTAGCCCCTCCTCCAGCCCCACGGCCAAGAGAGACTCGTTGCTGTCTTCCATCTGCAAGGCCAACACTGACAGGTTTCATCTTTTCACTATGTTACTCTGCTCCTTTCTGCTTTGCTCTTTCAATTTCAGGGATCTTACACATACATTGGATGATCCAACAAAATCACCCATCACAAGGCTCAGCAGCCTTACTTCCACCTTCACCTCTAAAATAGGGAGATTCTCTTTGATTGCTAACATGCGCCCAGAGTCATCTCAAGGTCCTTAAGTGGGAAGAGGAAGGCAGAAGGATCAGAGTCAGGGAGTGACAGGAACAGACCACTAGTTTTGAAGACGGCAGAGGGGTAAATAGTCAAGGAAAGTGGGATCCCCAAAGGCAGAAAAGGCAGGAAGCGAACTCTCCTGGCACCTCCAGAGAAGCCAGCCTTGCCCACCCCTTTCCGTGAGTCCCAGGTGATCTGTTTCTGACTTCTGACCTCCGGAACTGTGAAAAAATAGACTGGTGTTATTCAAGGTCACTAACTTTGTAACAATTTGCTACAATGAAAAAACAGGAGCGTTTGGAGTAGCCAGTTAGCATTGTGGATTTGTCTCTCTCTCCTGCCTGAGTTTTGCTTTCCCTATTTTGCAGCTATATTGTATTATGCATAGACATTTGGGGTTCTGATAACTGATCGTATCAACTTGAATAAGAAACACCCAACTAAGTTGGCTGAGCACAGTTTTAGGAGTGAAGACCCACCCTCAGGAGGACGGTCACCAGATGGTATAAAAGGGAAACGAAGCAGGAAGGGTCACTTCTGCTCCTTCGGAGGTGCTCCAGTCTTCATCTTCACCCGAAACACTGTAACCTGACTTCCATCTCAGATCCATCAGCCTCCTGATATCGACTTGCACGGGGAGACCACACTAAACTCTGGGCCTCTGACTGGATCCTTCAGATCTACAGCATACAAAGAGACCTTCTGCACTCTTCCACACCTGACTGTGTGGGCAGCCACTGTAAGGCTATCTTATAAATTCTTGTATAATTGTGCATCTTGCAATAAATCTGTTTCTCTAGTAAGCACTGACTGATACGGGCCTCATTATCATTGCACCATGCCTTTCTGTCACTGACTTTTTTGAAGTCTACTTTACCTGAAGCCCGAACAGCCACTCTCTTCTCTGATGTTTCATTGTGTATCCTTTCCCACCCTTGTACTTTCAACAGGCCTGAATGATATTTGAAGTGCATTTCTGTGGACAGTACATAGAAGTATACTGATCTCTATTTGAAAATGACATATTTTTTGTATAGAAAATTCCAGATAAACCACAAAAACTATTAGAATTAATGAATTAGTTTAGCAAAGTTTCAGGATACAAGACCAATATGCAAGCCAGGCATGGTGGTGCACGCCTGTAATCCCAGCACTCGGGAGGCTGAGGCAGGAGGATTGTTGCGAGTTCGAGATCAGCCTGGGCTACAAAGTGAGCTCAAGGTCAGCCTTAAAACTGGATAGCAAGACCTTGTCTCAAAGAGACAAAAAAAAAATCAATATGCAAGACATTCACTGTATTTCTCTATGGTAGTGAATAATTTGAAGTGAAACTAAGAACACCGCTACAGTTATAACAGCATCAAAAAGAATAACAAGCTTGGAAATAAACAAAAGAAATACACTCTTTATACACTGAAAATTACAAAACATTCCTGAAGGGAAGTACACACCCAAATAAATGGAAAGATATTTTGTGTTTATGAATTACAAGACTTAATATTGTTAAGATGAAAATACACTTCACACTGATCTACAGATTCAATTCAATCCCTAGAAAAATCTAATCTGGCTTTTTTTGCTGAAATTGACAGGTTGATTAAAAAATTCATATGGAAACTTGAGGGATCAAAATTGCCAGAACAATTTCAGAAAGTAAGAACCAACCTGGCGCACCAATACTTCCCAATTCAAGACTTACTATGAAGCTAAAGTAAGAAAAACAATGTGGTTCTGGCATAAGGATCAACATACAGACTAGTGAAATGGAAGAGAGAACAAAAACCCGGAGATTAACCTTTCCGTTCACAGTCAGTTGGCTTTCAAGAACCCCAACCACTCAATGGAGGAAATACCTTTACAGCAAATGATCAACAGGTCATCCACATGCAAAAGGAAGGGGTAGGCCTACCTCATGCCATGTACAAAAATAAACTGAAAATGGACCAAAGACTTACATATGAGCATTAAAACTGTAAACCTTTTAGAAAAGAAACAGCTATCAAAAGCCCAGGCTTCATAGGATTAAGCAATGAAAACTAGTTAAATCAGACTTCGTTGAAACTAAACATTTTTTTGTGTTTCAAAGGAAATATTAAAATTAGAACACACAGAATGGCTGGAAAGACTTGCAAACCATACCTTTGATATCCATACCTAATCTTCAGAATATATACAGAATTCTAACACTCAAAATTAGAAAGAAATAACCCAATGAAAACTGGACAAAAGACTAGATCAGATATTTCTCCAAAGAAGATGGAAATATTTCTCCAAAGTACATGAAGAAATACTTGAAACATGAAGTCATCAGAGAATGTAAATAAAAAACACTCGGTATCACTTCACACCCACTAAGATGGCAAGAATAAATAAGGCCCAGGAGGTCCACATCTAGGTACTAGCCCTGGAGAACTGAAAACAGCATCCACGTAAAAGTGCACACAGATCCCAGCAGCATTGCTTGTGACAGGTGAACAGTGGAAGCAACCCAAAGTTTCTCAAAAGAAGTGCTGATGGATAAATAGGCTTCAATATATTCACAGGGTGGAGTATCATGCAGCAATGACAAGGAATGAGACACTAAGCCTAGGACACATAGGCCATGAGAATATTATGCCAACTGAGTGAAGCCAGTCATAGAGAGCTGCACGTTATTCTATTCCATCTGCATGAAGTGTCCAAAACAGGCAAATCCAGAGACAGAGAGTAGACAAGAAGTGACTGTGTGTGGGCATGGGGTTCTCTCTGCAGCAAAGGAGGAATCTGGGAGTATATGATGCCACAGTGCTCATCTTTCTGCACACACCAAACATTATTGTTTTGTGTACTTTCAAATAGTGGGTTTCATGGTGTATGAATTAGATATCAATAAAAAATACTCCTGATTTTGAAAAGAAAAAGAAGTTCCACATCCCCCAATGTAGATAAGCCAACTCTGAAGTATGAAAAGTAAACTCCACATCGCATATGAGCCCCGCCAATGCTACTCGCAGCCCATTCCATGGGGCAGACTGCTACACATGACTTCTTTGGAAAAGTGGGACTCTGTTTGTAACTTTTCTCCCATGTGTCAGTACAATGTAAGTTATTTCACTGCAATAGATATATTTTGCTGCTTAAAAATATTCAGTATAGCAAGCCATATATCAGGGGTGCTTGGCTTTCCTCCGACTGCAGAGGGCCAGGGGACATCCAGAAGGGGCAGCTCAGCGGCCAATGCCTGTGGGGCACAGAGGGTGGGAGGTGCCCAGAACCAGGATGGCCACTGCCCAGGCTAGTGGGTGAAGAGGAGGAGGGGCCTGCTCACAGTGCAGAGTGCGCTGTGAGGAGAAACACTGGTCTTCATCTGTTATGAGGTAAAACGTTACCAAAAGAAACAAAGGATCATGGGAGTGTGAGCCTGAGTGCCAGCCCACGTCCACAGCCAGGAGAATCCTGGGGAGATTCTCACCAAAGGAGGCTGAGAACCTGAGTATTTACGAGCTTCAGTGCAGCTCAGCCACATTCCACACGTGGGGACTGTCCTTGAGAGCACCCCCAGGTGAACTTCCGCCTCCGCTTAGGAGGGTGAGAAACCCTCTAAATGACTTGGGCTTTTGTAAGTGTCCATGTGTGTGAGCGTGCACATGTCCACATAGGCAGAGCCACTGAGGCAGAGAGATTGAGAATATATGGACAGTGTGCCCGCAGGCATGGCCATCTCCTCACTGGGCACCGGTCGTCACCCGTGAGGTCAGGATTGTCGCTGACCTCAGGAATGTTGCTGCATTATCTGGGTCTCAGGAGCCCTTTGGTGATCCCTGAATCCTTGCAGACGCCTGAAAGCTGTAGGAGTGTCTGTGGATTTTACGCTGTGGACAGCCTGGAACCCTGCCAGGTGCTGGAACCACCTGTAGCCCATCCTATCAGGCTGGGGACCCCATCCTGCCTCCTGGGCAGCCCTCATCATCCCTGGCCAAGGCTCAGCCAAAACTCAACTCGTGCATTTGGCCACAGGATGCCCACGGCTGCCCAGCTTTGGGAAATGCAGATTAGGGTGTGGCGATAGCACAGGGTGCTATGTGGCAGTGTGCAGGGAGCCCGTACGGGGCATTTATGCCAGGGCAGGGGGGGATGGCAGTCATTAAGGGGAGAGACTCCTCCCTAGATCTTGGCTTTGTGTGGCTGTCCCAGGAGCCTGCACATGTATGTGGTGAGGGGCCTGTACCTTCCCAGGCTTGACGGAGGGCAGGTGGTCTCTGACCCCCCCACTCCATCCAAAGAGGCACTGCCTGCCCACAGCTGTAGCCCCTTGTTAGTCAGGGGTAAAAGTCCTTCTGAGATCCTCCTGGGGAGTCTCTAAGAGCCAAGGCAGGACCTGGGGACTCTGGATGGCTGGCTTCAGGGCACACAGCTGTCCTCCTAGGGAAGGAGCAGCAGCCCTACCATCCACAGGACTTCGCAGATGTGCCTCACCCACGTTTGTTTGGATTCTGCTGACATGTCCTAGGAACAGATGACTTGCAGCAGGCCCTGGCTCTGGACCGAGCAAGGCATCAGAAAGAATCTTGCTTCCCAGTGGGGTGGAGACTGGACTCGGTGCTGGGGGATGCGAGATTGGGGCACAGCTTATGCTGCTCATCCCACGGACTTGGGCTGCCTAAGTGGGACCCTTAGTGATGATGTTCACTTGTCCACAGGCACAGGGACGTGGTGGGCCACTGCCAGATGTCCTACATGGCTCCTGAGCTGCCCGTCCAGCCTGGGCTCCTTGTGTCCCGAGACATAAGGTAAAGTCAGAATGTTAGTGAAGCTCCTGAGAGTTACCACCCTACTTTCCCTTGCCAGGCATCAGATGTAGGTGCCCCGCTGGGACCCACATGCAGAGTGAGCAAGAAAAGAGCTCACCACTTGGCTGTTGTAGCCAGTGAGGGCCCGGGGGTGTTTCTTTCCATGGCATCTTCTAGCGCCTCTGACCAAGATGAACCCAAACACCCACCGTGAAGGGACTTCAGACCTTGGATTAGTAAGGTGATGACAGAATTGGGGCAATGGGGGAGAGGGCTCTGTCAGTGTTGGACAGACTTGGCTCTGCGCTCTGTTTCCCAGCATCATAAGGTGATGGCTCCTGGCGGTACTCTGGCCACCTCACTGCTGGCTGGGCCCTGCTCCCCCTGCTTCATCTCCAGGAAGCCCCATCTGCCCTGCCCATCCTGTGGCATGGTGGGGAGCAATGGGGTCACTTTGCATTTCTCAGCCTCCTGTGCCTCAGGTCCCTCCTCTCTCTCAACAAGGATTCAGCTAGGGGCCCCTCCATTGAGTGACTGCATCTCAGGCCCCTCAGTGAGGTCAGATGCCATGTGTCACAGCCTCAGGGACTTCCCAGAGCTCGTGGCCACCCAAAGTCAGCGAAGCCCTATTTGCTGCAGTAACGTTCAGCAGAACTCCACCCCATGGTAGATGCTGAGCGCCCAGACGGAGGACACGGTGGCCCCAACACCCTGGCTGCCCCAGGTCACCCTGCCCAGCGGGGAGTAGGTTGAACCTTTCTGGAAATGGAATGCTGCATGTCTGACTTTTGTCTGCAGGACACCATTGAGACTTCATCTGTGTGGACATCTAGCCAGTCATTCTTGGCACCGTGATTCCCACTGTAACCATGCTGCTACCTGTATGTCCGTCCTCCACAGGCTCTGGTTTCCGATGGGGCCACGTGGCCTGCCCGTGTGGCAAGTTAGGCTTTCCCAAGACAGCAGAGCATCTCCGTCTCACCAGTCAGAAGTAACAGACTCCACGTGACAGGCTC